TTTACAAATTAAATAGAGTAAACAATTAATAAAATATATAAAAATATACAGAGTTGAGACATTACTTTAATGTAATGTCATGAGTAATCTGTATAACTGCTGCATTTTACTTAGAGAATTATATTAATATGCAATGTGACAGTTACAAAACTAATAATAAGTGTAACTTATTTGGTCACTACCAGCACAGCTAAAAGTCAAACTGGATAAAATGTTAAGCATGATTCATCTGGTGTACAGATGTTGAAGCAATGTGTGGTTGTCATTTTCACTCAGTGATGATGTCTCTGTGACAAAGATCAGACACATTTCCCAACTCGCTACTCTTCTCTCGTGCAGCAGGGAACTGGTTCAAAGTGCAGAGAGTTTGAGACACGTACACACGCATGTACTGTCAGCATTTTGGACAGATTTAGGTACAGGAGCAGAGCAGCTCAGGACAGCATGATTTGGGGGATTCTATCGACCCATATCTTCTATTGAGGCTTATCTATTGCTGTTCAATAGGGGGTATTCCATGTGTAACCAATACTGTTGTCAGACAATAACTATTAACCAATAAATGGGGCTGGCTTTCCACAGCCTAGCATACTCTTATTGGACACTAATGAAGCTCTCCTGATAAAGATCAATATGCATGGTAACAAAGCACAAACCCAGGACTGTTGTTGTTCAGTGGTCCGTAACATGTTAACTGTCTGAATGTTAACATCATTTATTTATTTATTTTTAACTTTTCTTAAACAGAAGGCGTGCCTGTGTGTGCTCGAAGAAGTTAATGAGTACCAACTAATGTTGCAAAGCATTACTTACTGTCAGAACAATATAATGTTTACTGCATGAACTGCACATGCAGAGTTCAGGCAACATGTCACATCACATGCATTTCATCACATACAGGGATTGGATGTGTCTGCCCTTTTACCCAAACAAGTTCTAATCTCCAACAAAACAATTGGAGTACAAGTGGCCTCATGAATATGCATTGTGTCCCCAGTGTGGGCGTTAACCTGGCCCTGCTTGGGTTTAAATATGCAGGCTCTGCCTTTGCCTCTGCCTGCAAAGCCTGATTACTCAGAACGCACAGAAAAAGAGAATAAGAGAGTTTGTGCGTGTGCTTCGACGTAAGTATTATTCTCTTTTTTTGTGGATAGTAGAATTTTTGCATTTTAATTAAATGGATTAGTTGTCAGGAGTAAATCTTTGTTCTGTTTACAGAATATCTGGTTACAATTGTTCCTTTTCTTTTAACAGACTCATCGACAACACAATATGGAAAACTTTGGCGAGATCATCCCATTTGCTAAGGAAATGCTGACACAGAGACCCAGCCGGAGCATGCTGAAGATCTACATGCTCGGCTCTACTCTGGCAATGCTTGGTATGGTCGGGGGACTGGTAGAGATGGCTTTCCTGCCCTTTGTGGAGAGAGATACTGAGGAGGATGAACCAGCAGAGCTTATCATCCTGAAGAAGAAGGAGAAGAAGCAGGTGCTGAAGCCACACACTGCCTCTGCTGATAGTGAAGTTGCTGATGTGGTGGATACAGTAATGCCCGAGGAAAAAGCCAAATATCTTTTGACTTCAAGGCGGAGAAGCTCAGCCAACCGCTTACATGCTTCTTAAAGAAACTTTCTCCTCTTCACATAAATGGACACTAGAGATGATGGTAATGTTGGTAAATCAAGTCATTGTGCGGAAATGGCCCATTCATTATTTCAAAAATTGGTTAAATGTGCAGTTTGCTCCTGTTGACTGGGTAAAAAATGAGATGAGATAAAGTGAAGACTGCGGGTTACAGTAACGTTGGCTGCTGGGCAGCAGATATTTGTGAATGTGATGTGATAGATGTGATGTAAAAGTGGAATGTGTGTGATTAAATTTGTTTTGCACCCTAATAAAAATATATTTTTTTCTCCAAACAATTGTCTCAGACCATGACTTTAATATAATCTGTGGGGTAGGTTACTTCAAAGAGCGGACCTCATGTTATAATTAGCAAAAAGAGAGAAAATGTAACTAAAAAGATGCAACTGATCTTTTAATATCATTTTTCTTCATTTAATGCAATAATTTTAGAACTATGACTGGAAAATATATTTTAAAAAGTATCACAAATACCTTTTTCCAAGTACTTATTTTGTATTACAAATAACTAAAAGCCTGCTATATTAATTTTACAGCAGAGGATTTTCACAAATTAGAAGCAAGTTGAAGCAGGTGTAATTTTACAGATGAACACTCGGGGGCGACAGACAAACAACGTGTGTGATACGATCGTGATACGGCGGAAATAACGTCATACAGTCGTGCCGTGTTTACCAACGGCGGCTAAACGGTGTTCGGAGAGATACAAATATAAATCTGCTCAAAACAACGAGGAGATTTCCAATAACTGCAGATGGCGGATCCTGCGGTGGCGTCGGGAGGCCCTCTGAATGCGGGAGCGGTAAGAAATGTTTTTTGGGTCACGGAGAGGAGGCGGATGTAGCATGTAGAGCCGGATTCACGGTGCATGGCTAACAGTCAGAATGCACTGAAGTCCTAATTCGATTTAACAACTTTAAATAAATATGATTTAGTCCGGTGAAAGCTTGAAATACGTTTTTATAGACTATAAGGTGGGTTAACTTTATCTATGTCAGTGCTTACCCTGTCTGAATAAATGTTTGTGTCCTTACAGTGACAGGAAGAGGTACGTTTCACATGTTCTTTAGTCTTAACATATGGACACATCCTCATCTAAATTACAGGTGTGAACAAATAGAGTCTATACCAATATCACAAACACTAAATTTAGGGAGAATAAAGGGTTTAGCAACACTTCTTGTATTTTTCATCGATATTTGGGGTAGACCAACAAACCGTTCGAGCGGTTCCCATCTGTCTGCTAACTACAAGGGATGGCTATTAATAATATTTTAGACAAGGTCAGTTTATTTATGTAGCACCTTTATTATTAATAATAAAGTGGCACAACCATTCAGTACGGTTTAGTTTTATTTATATAGT